AAAAAAAAAGAGATTTGTACCTATGTTGTTTATTTATTATTTCTTTCCTATATCTTATAATATGAGAAACTACTTTGGCAGTAATGATAACACAGTAACCATTGTTATTCTCCTAAAATCTTGTTTTGAGATTTTGTACCATTGTTTTTATTTTTTTTTCTTTAAAATAAAAATAACTGATGTCAAAAATTAAAACAAAACAAAACAAAACAAAACAAAAACCTGCTCTTGACTTTTCCCTACCTTGCATTGCTTGTGGCAGGGCTTCAGGGCCACTAAGTGCTTAACCATCTGCTGTCAACATAGTAATATTAGAATAGCGTAGAGGTCCCTCCAGGATAAGGAGCTGCTGAGAAGGGGTATATGCTGCCCCTTGGGCATCTCCTGCTCCACTATTTCTCTAGCAACTGTCTCTCCTTAATGCCTCTTCAAACAACTTAAAGGAGGGGTGTAGTAGTAGTGGGGGGATGCTTGGCTAGATGACTGAACCACAGCAGAGCTGAGTGACAGAAACTGGCAGTGGGCAAAACTCTTTGTGGCTTCTGAAGCTCACCAGCTTGAGTCTCATTTTCTTTTGCCAAATTTCCCAGAAGGCACACAAATGAGATCCTGATATTGACATTTCATCCACACAGGGCTGTCAATTCCCTAGAGGGAACATGACCTATAATAAACTACATACTCTGTAAAAGAGGGCCAGGGAGATAGCTCAGTGGTCTAAGCACCTGCCTGGCAAGCACAAGGACCCAGGTTTGATTATGGCTGCACCAGCCCCGCCCGCCCTGAGTGCTCTGTGCAGGCCATGGAAACTGGGCGTGGTGGCACACACCCATAATCTCAGTGCTGGGGAAGCTGAAAAGAGGAGGATCATTATGAGTTCAAGCTGCATAGTAAGACTCTGTACCAAATACATAAGTAAAAAAAACAAAAAGAAAAAACAGCAAATTAGTGTTCTGCCCATAAAACTGGGAGCATCCCTAACCACATAAACAGCCTGGCCTTGTGATTCGCTGAACTTCCAGGTAGGAAGTCTGGTTCCTTGCTGGAGAAACCACAGGTGCAGAGGCCAACCCGGTCATCCCAGGTCCTGCCAAGGAATCAGCCACACAAGTGAGCACCACTAACCAGAAAACTGTCCACCTGAACCCAGCTCAGACCGCAGAAGCTACTGCATTTGAGGTTCCTGTTCTGTAGATAGCTGCAACAGAAATACCTCAGCAGGAAGAGGAGAAATCAGAATAAACCATCTTTAAATAGTGATCTAAAATGTCTCAGAATCTCAAAAATAATAGCTTAGAAAAGAATTAATTTCTTCATGGCAAACAATAAAGGGAGGGGAAAATACTATCAGCCATCAAAGGGACTTCCTTTTTAAGACATTATACCTATTAAAATTTATTTATTTATTTATTTATTTTTGAGACTGGGTCTTGCTACGTAGCCCAGGCTGGCACTGACCTCTTGGCTATCCCTGTGCCTCTGCCTCCCATGTGCTGGGATTACAGGAGTACACCACCATGCCACGCCACACCTATTAAAATTAAACATAAACTCTATGCTCATTTGTGCCAACATGAGACTTTTTTTTAAAGAACTCAAAATACTAAAGAATATCTTAAATGTGAAAACATGAAAGACATTCATATTCTCAATGGTTACTTACTTAA